CTGCATTTATAGTAACGTAAATTAACTAGGGAAATTTATTGCTCATCATTTTTTTAAATATGTATTTTATTGATTTTTTACAGAGAGAAAGGAAGAGGGAGAGGTAGAAAGATTGAGAGAGAAACACTGATCAGCTGCCTCCTGCACACCCTCCTCCTGGAGATGTGCCCACAACCAAGGTACATGCCCTTGACTGGAGTCGAACCTGGGACCCTCAGTCCGCAGGCCGTCGCTCTATCCCCTGAGCTACACCGGTTAGGGCTGCTCATCATTTTTTAGTAGTGTGATTAATATCAGGTGAACAACACACTGATCATAAATAACCCATAAATCTTTAATAAGCAACAGAAATGTGAATATAAGGTCACAGAACACTCAAACCCCCCTCAAAAAAAAAAAAATAAGAATGGCTGCCTGTGCTCTCATTAAATCAATGAGCACCTGACACGGAGTTAAGAGACTAGTTTCTACTGCCCATCCTTTCACCAGAGCGTGGACTCAGTTTGCATATCTGCAAAGTGGGAATAATATCTGTCCTAACTAATTTGAAGAGACTGTTTAAGAGGAAAAAGAGTGACACAATGTATAACCTCTCCACACACCCTATTTGGCAGAAGGGTTGCTACTAATATAACTCCAAAGAGCTTTAGTTTTGCTAACACAGAGAACAAAAATCTTTCTCTCATGTGTTCTCAACCTCCTAGAGAAGGTAAGAGTGGCAAAGACAACTCTGGCCATTATCAACCATACAACTGGGGGACAGGAAAGTTAAGAGATGTTACTATAACCGGAATCAAGGTTCTGCTGCCTGCACCATGAAAACCAAACTCGTGAGACCGATGCTAGTGAAAAAGGAAAGGTTTGAGTGCTGGGGGACTCGTTCCAAAGCCCATCTCTGCATCTCAGTGCAGGCAGAGGTTTTTGTAAGGAGAGGCAATGCAGAACAAAGAGTTCAAGGGGAAGGGCTTGAGAAGTTCTCTGAGTGCAGGCCAGCACAGTCCATTCCGGTAAGGATCTTGAAACTGGTCAAGTGATGGTCTGATGTGCGTCATCTGGTTCTACATCATCCTGGTTCTGTCTCATCCTCCGTCTGTGGTTGAAGATCAGCCAGTCTCCCAGAACTGGGGTGACTGGAGGCCAGAGTCCGCATCTTCTGAAGTTAGTTCCTACGATTCTTATACAAGCATGCTGTTTCTCTACAAGCTATGTACATATTAGAGTCAGCTTTTACAGAAAGTGTCAAAAAATGGTGGGGTGGGTTACAATTCCCCACCGTTACATTGCTGGTTGAAAGGAGAGAGGCACACCCAGAGAAGCTCCTGATAAGTTCCACTGTGGAGAGGCATCTGGCTCCCACTACCTCCCCAAACTAGTCCCAGCGCCACTCGGGCCGATTCCAGAATGAGGAGACCAGGTGGTTGTTCCTGCAGATCGCCAGCCAGATTCCCAGAACGTAGTCCTTCATGTTTAACTTTTTTTTTTTAATATATTTTATTGATTTTTCACAGAGATGAAGGGAGAGAGATAGAGAGTTAGAAACATCGATGAGAGAGATACATCGATCAGCTGCCTCCTGCACATCTCCCACTGGGGATGTGCCCGCAACCCAGGTACATGCCCTCGACCGGAATCGAACCTGGGACCCCTCAGTCCGCAGGCCGACGCTCTATCCACTGAGCCAAACCGGTTTCGGCATCATGTTTAACTTTAAATCTTGCCGTGGCAGATCTGCCTAGACTTCCTTTATTCTGCCTGCACATGACACAGCCTCGCTCCCCCTTCCTTTCCACTCTCAGAGAAGCCAGACACCGACTGCAAGGAACTCGAAGGGCTCGCCAGTTTACATCACAAACCTTGCACAAAACAGGGACTCAAAAAACCTCTTGTGGACTTGGTCCCTATGTTTCAGAACTTGCAATCAATTTGGTTGACTTTAATAGCCGCCAAAACTCTTACCTTTTGTCCCTTAGCATGTGTCCCTTGCTCTGTCGTGGGGAGAACTAATAAAATAAGGGTCATTGTGGAATTAATGGGATTACCTCACACAGATAAGCAATTTGCATTTTATCAGGCTTCCCTATCGGTTTGTACTCAGAAATGCAAACCAATGTTTAAATGCCCTTAGGCTAACATAATTAAGAAAGCAAGTCTTTGGGGGAAATGACAGAAATGACACCCCCCACGAATGTGCTGGTAATACGCCCAGTAAGCGAGGAAGAGATGGGATTTCACACAGTAGGTTTCCTTCTCCAGTCAGGGAGACGTAGGGATGATTTTTCAAAGACAGGGGAGGAAAAAACCCGTCAGTCTCAAATGTTATGCCCTACCCCCAGGTCAGAAATTCCACTGTTAAAACATTTATTCTTGTTTCATGCTGTTTACTTATAATATACAAAATAATCAACCACATAAAAAGAAAGAAAACACTCATTAATCCTGCCATTTAAAAAAAGTATATAAAGATGTGAAATGTTCCCTCTACACTTTCAATCCACCCTATTCCACACTGCAAGCTGCCCACCCTTCAATCCCCTCTGCTTTATTTTTCTCCACACAGCATGTCACCACCTGAAACACTGGATATTTATTTCTTTATAGTCTGTCTCCCTTTCTTTATTGTCTGTAAGCTGCATGAGGGTGGGAGGTTTGTCCACTTTGTTGGTACATCCACAGTGCCTACACAGTGCTTAGAACGTAGTAAGCACTCAAAAAACATTGGCTGAAGAATGAATGAGTGAATGATTGGCTGAATGAATGAATGAATGAATGAACAAACGAAGGAAGACATGAATCCCACCCTTTGGAGGAAACCACTTTTGGTTCCTGTCTATCAGACCTTTTCGTGCTTATGTGGATGTAAATTTATATGCAGACATGTGCATACTTTTTAATTTTCCCAGAAATGAGGTCATAGTGTACTTATTGTTCGCCAATGTGCTCTTTGCAATTAACATGTCATAAACAGTTTCCAAGGTACATTTCATAAGAAGTTACTCCAGGCCTGCCAGTGTGGCTCAGTGGTTTGATGGTTCGATTCCCGGTCAGGGCACATGCCCAGGTTTCGGGCTCGATCCCCAGTGGGAGGGTGCAGGAAGCAGCTGATCAATAATTCTCTCACATCATAGATGTTTCTATCTTTTCCTCCCTATCGCTTCCTCTCTGAAATCAATAAAAATACTTGTTTTTAAAAGAAGTTACTCCATTCTGTTGTTGTTAATTCTCACCCGAGGTATTTTTTTCCATTGCCTTCCCAGAGTGGAAAGGAGGGGGGGAGGGGGAGAGACAGAGAAACATCGATGTGAGAGAAACACATCAATTGGTTGCCTCCAGCTGGCTCCCCAATCAGGGTGGGGATTGAACCTGGTATGCGCCCTTGACCAGAAATCGAACCCTTGATCCTTTGGTAAGCGGGCCGATGCTCTGTTCACTGAGCCATGCCGGCCAGAGCACTCTACTGTTTTTTCTTTTCATTTTTTCTTTAACATATTTTTATTGATTTCAGAGAGTGATAGATCCTCCCTTCCCCCAACTGGTGGGCGGGGTATGACGTAACCTGCAGCCCGGAAATACCTGAGTGACTAACCAGGTACCTTGTTATGGACTATGCATTGGACCACCAATCCACACCTGCCAAATACCCTAAGCCTTGTCCTGTATGGACCATGCAGTAAGCCACCAATCAGCGTGCGCCGGGTACACTCAGCCCCCACCCCTTCCCATCCCGTCCCCCCCCCCCTCCCCATTCCGCCCCTCATAGACGTGCCCACCCTGCACGTGCTGCTGTCCTCCCCTTGGGAGGCAGCCCGCAGGTCCTTCTCCTCTGACAAAGCCTGTAGTCCTGGTTTCGGCCTCTGTCTGATTTTTCAGAAAGGAAGGGAGAGGAAGAGAAAGAGAGATAGAAACATCAATGATGAGAGAGAATCACTGATCGGCTACCTCCTGCACAGCCCACAACCCGGGCATGAGCCCTTGATTGGAA